TCTGTTTCAATATTAAACCAATTTAACCCTTTAATAAATATTGAATCCAGACCTATTTTATAATTATTATTATTATAATATTTGTTTGATAAATAAATACAACCGTTTTTAACTTTTATAAATACCATTTATAAAAGTAATTATATATATTTATTATAATTATATAATTATATATTATTATTTAATTCAAATTGTATCAATTGCTTTGTGCTTCCGGTATCTAAATTTTGTAATTCATTATAAACAAGATTAAATTTTTTCGAACTTAGATTATACAATGAAATATTTTCTTTTGTAAACACATCTAAAAATCTATCTGGTAAAAATACTTGCAATTTTTTATCTAATATAACAACTATTGTCTTACCATAAATTGTATCAATATATTTGAAACGAGTAACCTCATATTTTTTCCTTTTTCTAAGTCACATACTTTTACAAAATCATATTGATCGTTGCATTTATTTAAAAGTGTTTTCAAATTTTCCATTTCTATTATTTATTATAATAGAAATGTATTTTTTTTTAATCGCGTATTTAAATTATATTTATTTCTAAATAACATAACAATGTTAATCTTTACGGACAGACAGACATACAGACGGACAGACAGACATATAGACGGACAGACAGACGGACAGACAGACAGACATAATAATATTGAACGTCCGTCTGTCCGTCCGTCTCATGAACCGTGTGAGTCCGGTTTTTTTTTTAATAATAATATATATATGTCAGACACAATGATGTATGTTTTAATAATTTGATGTTAAAAAAATATTTACTAATATAAATAATAGAAATGGAAAATATGAAAACACTTTTAAATATGATTGAACAACAACGTAAAATCCTAAGACCTATATTTAATGATAGTGATATTTATATTGATATTGATTCTGAAATTAGTAATATATTATGGAATCAAATATTGGATAATTGTTGTTACGAAAATGTTGCAAAATATGTTTATTACAAAAAACATAATCAATTAAAATCATTTAACTTCCATTTCATTAGTAATTGTTGTTTCGAAAATATTTTAAGTTTTATTAAAAACAAAAATTATAATGAAATTAATCTTTCACTTAACGAACTACGTAAATTAATACAAGAGGAATTACATGATTCGAATAATAATAATAATATGGAGCTAGACTGATTATTTTTTAAACATCGAAAATTTAAATCGAATATAATACTTACGAAGTATTATATATAATATTATAGTACCTATACAGTGTGGTATAATAATAATAATAATAATTCATATCAACGTTGGCCTGATTATTTTTTAACATCCGGTATTGAATATCTTATCATAATATATATGTATAGTTTATATTATGATGTTTTTTTATCGAATTATTTAAATAGTGTTTAAATAATCATTATACATGCCCAAGTGTTGTAGCTCAGTCGGTAACGCGTTTGATTTAAAATGTGTTCTTGGTCGGATTGAAACTAGTGGGAGAATGTGTAGCGCTGCATATTCACCTACTAATTTCGTCAGGCTTTGAAGACGTTTACGGTAGATTGTATAGGTGGGTTCACACACCTATGCAATCTACTGAAAAACTGTCGTTGACCTGCTGAATAAAGCACTTGGGTAACTTCACTGCCCACGATAGCTTTGCAGATATCTGTAAAAGAGTTCCGGCCTCCTTTTTTCCTAACGGGTATCTGCAAAGCTGGGAATGGTTTTGTAGATTTTTTGAATTTTTTTCCATATTTCTATTAAAAATATTAAAAAATAACGCGATCGTATATGTCCCATATTTCATTTAATATTTGATTTTATCAAGTCGGATCAACACAGATATGTTTAATATGCTTATCTACACTACATATTAAAAGTTTACCCCCTCTTCATATTTTTCATTTAAGTATAACTCCGTTGCTATTTATGTTAGAATCTTCATTTTTACATTAAACATTTTTGATTTTAATTCTTTATAAGTCCCCCTCATAGTATCATAGTGTAAAATCTTTTTCAAAGATTTTTGGATTTTAATAACGCGTGTCCGAATGGGACACACGTTAAACATTGAACATTTTTTAGTAGAACAATTCTATTAAAAAATTAAATTAATAATATAGTTATATTCTAATCATTTTGTGATCGGAATCTGTACCTCCTACGACAAGACTACATATTTTAATATTTCCTAAATCTTGAACAACACAAATATCATGGAGATATTTGAAACCATAAGTACCGGTTGTATTTATTAAATCATTAGCTATTTTACAAATTTCAAGCCATGTTGGCGATTCTAGTATTTTAGAAGCATAAGGCTTTCCATTTCCAGAAATATTGTTCCCATGATCGACAATTAAAATATTCCCTTTAATTGGAATTTTATTTAGATTATATTTCATGAATTTAATATTTTTTTTATTTTTAGTATTAAAGTATTTATATTTAAAGAACTTAACAAAGATTTCATTATTTAATAATGATTTTTCTATTTCATTTTGCATTTCATTTTCATATACCTTATTAAATTTTTTTTTTATTATACATTTCATGATTTTAATATTTTTTTTTATTATTAGTATTAAAATATTCATATTTACAGAACTTAACAAAGATTTCATTATTTAATATTGATTTTTCTATTTCGTTTTGCATTTCTTTTTCTTGTACCTTATTAAAATTATTTATAGTTTCCATTCTTTTATTATAAATTTCAATTCCTTTAACTCAGGTATTCAATTTCTTTTTATTCATCTTTGCATTTCGATTTTTATTTTTAATAGAACAATTCTATTAAAAAATATTTTAATTATTATTGCATTTCGATTTTAATTATTAATAATTATGTTTTGCGGAAAATATTTTTATTATTTTTTTGTATTTAATAAGTTTGGGAAAAATGTTTTTATTATTATTGCATTTCGATTTTTATTTTTAATAATTAAGTTTTGCGGAAAATTTGTTTTATTATTATTGCATTTTCATAAGTTTTGCGAAAAATGTTTTTAATTATTATTGCATTTCAATTTTCTGATCTTTTTGCACATTGTTTTCTTTGTGATCTTTTACTGATATATTATGAGGTGCGCCAGGACTGGTACATATATACTACTTATATATATATTGCACGGAAAAAAAAATATATTGTAATATATTTTAAGAATTCATATTATATTAAAGGATTAATTCATATTATATTAACACTAAGATAAGATTATTGTTGTAAAACAAAAACGGAAAAAATATATTATTAATCACAAAAGATACTAACCTAGATAATAAGTAAAATATATACTGTAATATTGTGGATTGTAATCTGTATTTCAATAATATTTAATAAATATAACCAGAAAAGTATGGTAGAATGTACCATATAATTCAATAATGTAACTAAATATCTGTAACAAACATATTATGTAAACATGTAATAATTGAATGTAATGTAATAATTGATATATTATGTAACTTGTAATCACATGGAAGTGCTTGAACTAATGGAGGGATGATTGAGTTAATTTTTCTCATTTTAGACGATAAAAATCAACTTTTAAAGGGGGAGATGTAGTAAGCCAGTTACTACGGAGTAACACCAATTTCATGAGTACATAGTTATTATTATAATATACGATAGACCGGCATAACTGGGTAGTAAGCAAATTAGGGTTCAGAAATAAGCGCAGTAACCTTGGACAGAAACAAATACCAATTTCATAGGTACATAGTTATTATTATAGTATACGATGGACCGGCATAACCAGTTAATAAGAAAATTAGGGTTCAGAAATAGGCATTGTAATATTCCACAGAAATACTGAACATACACAACGAGATCCAAAATTAAAAGAATGAGATGATTATTTTATAATAATCATGGGGAAGACACTGAGTGCATACGACGAAATTCAAATAAAAAAAAAGAGTAAAATAATTATTTTAATAATAGTCATAGTTTGGTAATACAGTCAATCGTAAATGCGTGGGCTAGAATGATGAGCACACAAATCACATCCGTGAGAACCGAGATATCGTATATGTAGGGAAGGGGTACTTGGAACCTCATATAAAAGGGAGCCCGAATAGGCCTGTATTCAGACGTGTACTACCACCCATTAGAGCAGTGGTTCTCAACCGGTGTGCCGCGGCACACTAGTGTGCCGCGAGATTGTCTAGGTGTGCCGCGAAAAATGTTATTAAATATTGAAAACAGTGTTTTATTTCGTGACATTTATTTTTAAAAATACAGCAGCATAATAATATTTAAAATAATTTTTAAACTTTAATTTACGTGTACATTTACGTCGTCTACAGCCTACACACGTGCAGTTAAAACTGTACGATTCGATTGAACAGTTTTATCATTTGTACAGATGAAATCATACGAGTGTAGATTAATACGACGTAGTTTTTAGAACTGTACAGTTTTTCGGAAATAAATTGAAATTATCAATTGACCAATTGTGTGCTAATTGTGCAGATAAGACGATACCGGATACATGTATAGGCGCGTGGCGATAACTAATGTCTTCGGCGAATTTATCGAAGTTGTTGTGGTTGTCAAGTGCGTGAGTGTGCCGTTAAAACTTGTGGTGTATAATAGTGTGCCGTGAACTAAAAAAGGTTGAGAACCACTGCATTAGAGCAAGCACCTTCACGTCACTTAGTACAATATTATGTAATATATGAATAATACATTTTATATTTAAATAAACTTGCAAAATGAATATATCAGGTAGGTTCATACTTGGGTGTAAAAACACAAACGCAATTAAAACATATTACGCAATACCAAGAAATATTAAGCCGGGTTTACACGACGCGAATCTGATGCGCGAGGCTTGATGCGCGAGTCAAGATTCGACTTGTTTCGTCCCGTTCGAACTTGCCTCGCGTAATAAGTGAGGATGCCTCGTGGCGAGCGGAGCGCTGTCGGAAATTTGACGCGAGTCAAAGAAGATTCGCCCATTTGTTTCGCGTCATGTGAACTAGTTGTTTGCATCACGCGTGTGCAGCGAACGCCCATATGGATCAAAATCAATGTATTGAGTTAATTGAACTTTACCGAGATTATGAAGTTTTGTGGAATGCAAAATTTAAAGATTACCACAATCGAAATAAAAAAGAAGATGCTTGGAAAGACATCAGTGCACAAATGAATATTCCCGTAGATATTCTAAAGGCAAAAATGAAGAGCCTGTCGGGAACGTTTAGGAGTGAAAAGTCAAGAGAAACTAAAAAAACTACTGGATCAGGTGAGTTTAAATTAAAAAAAAAAACCATACAATTACAACATACGTATTAATATTAATTTAATTGTATTTAATATATTTTATTTACAGGTACTGACAACGTCTACGTGTCGAAATGGTTTGCATTTTGATTTTCTATCAGATAAAAATACTCCGAGGGAAACAATAAACTCGATGAATGAAACACTGGATTCGATGAGTGAAGTAAGTTATTTTTTTAAAAATATATTACTTTAATATATATTTTGCCATGGTAACACGTCGTTGAAAATGAAATGGGACGCAATATGTAAACGTGTATTTTTAGCATGTTCAGATGTTCTTCGAGGAACATTTCGAATTGCTAACATAGATGTCATCGGTTGTTCACTTCTCCATCTTCCATTTACAATTTTCTCGTTGTTTTCGGTATCTAATGATCCTGGGGGTGTATATACTCCGCTTGAAGTGCGTGAGCGTAAAAAATTATGCAAATATATAGTTGTCATTGTTACTTTTGCTGCCACGTCGGGTTGCAATAGCATGGGTTTTCTTAACACACGAAAAACCGCACTCAATATTCCAAAAGCATTTTCCACTACCCTGCTAGCTCTGGAATGACGATAGGTAATTAAATATACGTTCAGGTGAACCATTATCTGGATTTCCCATGAATGGTGTCAATGTATTGGGTGTCAATGGGAAATCCAGATAATGGTTCACCTGAACGTATATTTAATTAACGCGAGGCAAGTTCGAACGGGACGAAACAAGTCGAATCTTGACTCGCGCATCAAGCCTCGCGCATCAGATTCGCGTCGTGTAAACCCGGCTTAATATTTCTTGGTATTGCGTAATATGTTTTAATTGCGTTTGTGTTTTTAGGAAGAATCAACTTCCTCGCGAGGCAGCCTCGTAAATCTTGCCTCACGCATCAGATTCGCGTCGTGTAAACCCGGCTTTAGGCAACCAACATTCCTTAACGATTACATAACAATATTTCCGAGACGTACACACACTAAAAAAACATACCCATATATGGTTATAAAGAAACAACAAGATAAGAAAACATTACGCAACACACGTACCATCATTACGTAACCGAAAATTCCATACTATACGAACACCGACGCATGCGCACAAATACAAAAATTAATTGAATGCCAAAAACTGTCGCTAAAACTTTACACAAATGAAAAAGGACATTAAACACACATGTTATTCATACACACAACCTATTGAAACAAATACTCCATACAAAAATTACAAAAAAACCCACGATGACATATGATCAAAGCATATTACTCACTCAAGCACCTAAGCGACAAAATACCACTACTAAAAATTACACGAAGGGAAAATAAGAAAACGGCAACAATATATCATAACGCAAATCAAAAGACAACACCTCATCAAAATTCGATATAGCACTAACTTACGAAATCATAATACCAAATATTTTATTCATCAACATAATAAGCTTATACAACTTACTCCACAGAAACACTTCCGGTGTGCAAAACACAGCTTAAATGTACACATATGCGCACTACACAACATTTTGGTGAAACAACCAAATGTCGATACCAAGACTATGCGCAACAAGACAAATACGATAGCATTTAACATACGAATTACTTTTCTCATATTAATAATGTGAAACACTAACGACAAAGTGCAAAAATATAACTCAAATGTACATGTATGCGCACTGTACGACATTCGGTCAAATAAACAGATGTCACTACCAAAACTATGCGCAAAAGCAACATTAAAACAAGACACAGTATACGAAACAACCTTCTCATACTAATATTGCCAAAAATCAACAACAATGTGCAAAAACGACATAAAACGTGCGCACATGCGCACCACACCACATTCGGTCAAATAACCAGATGACACTGCCAAAACTATGCGCGAAAAGAATAATAAAACAGCACATAACATACAAAACACCCTACTTATAACAATATAGCCAAAAAGTAACAACAATGTACAAAAATTACATAAAATGTGCATACATGCGCACCATACGATATTTGGTCAAACAAACTGAAATCACTGCTAATATTATGCGCAAAAAGAATCATAAGATGACACTCAATGTAGGGAACACTTTTATCATAATATCAAATTTGCGAAAACCCAACGACATTATGCGAAAACACGACATGAATACGCGCACATGCGCAATTTACATAACAAAGACGAATAATCTATTGTAACGTTACGTAATAACAATAGAGTGGGGATAAGACAATCGCTTCCTTATATAAACGCCACGCACAAACAACAACCATCCTCAGCAGCATACACACAGTAGTACACTCCACGCAACACGTCAGTTCAACACAGAGGACCACGCTGATGGCGGCCGCGGATAAACCATACAACATCGACCAGTTTCTTTTTTGACACAAGATTAATCTTTCTCTATAAAGTTAACTTACTATTGTTTTTGTTTTGAAACCAGGTATGAGCTCACTTTTGGAATATTCATTTTGCTATTTTACCATAACAACATTGTTATTTCAATTTTTTACAATCCTAACAATCCTTCAGTAATGTTAAGTCATGTAGGGAAGACATCCACATACTCCTATCCAAGTTATACATTCCTAAGAATACTAGACATAAATCAATTGTATCGTACATGAAATGCATTTTAACTCGTAAGGTATCTACATAAATTTCATCTCAATTACCGTTTGTCAATGCATTGTCTCTACTGGACATTGGGTTGCCAAAGTATATTTGCAGTTTAGATCTCGAGCAAGGGACCGGGCAGACTTATGCGCTGGGCCGAAGTACCTTCCTCTTAAGCGACTAAACTTCAAATATATAGGTAGTTGAAATGAATGTTATAAAAATATTAAATAAAAACGAATAATAAACTTCACTTCTATTACCGTTTGTCAATTCATTGTCTCTACTAGACATTGGGTTGCCAAAGTATATCTGCAGTTTAGATCTCGAGCAAGGGACCGGGCAGACTTATGCGCTGGGCCGAAGTACCTTCCTCTTAAGCGACTAAACTTCAAATATATAGGTAGTTGAAATGAATGTTATAAAAATATTAAATAAAAACGAATAATAAACTTCACTTCTATTACCGTTTGTCAATTCATTGTCTCTACTAGACATTGGGTTGCCAAAGTATATCTGCAGTTTAGATCTCGAGCAAGGGACCGGGCAGACTTATGCGCTGGGCCGAAGTACCTTCCTCCTAAGCGACTAAACCTAAAATATATAAGCAATAGAAACGCGTGTTATACAAATATCAATCAGAAAACTAGTAATAAAATTCATTCATAAATACTTCTTGAAGTAAACAGACAGATACCATAATATTATAATAATATAATATATATAACAGATATGCATGGATTCATAATGTCAGCACATAAGTAATTGTAAAAAAAAACAATCTTCAAAATATCATCATCTCCCATCAAAAGATATCCATCCTTACAAACTCCATTCTATCACAATTGTAATGAGCCAACAGTGTGTAATATAGAATTATAGAAATGTATACTTAATTACAATAGTATATTGTAGTGTAAATTGTAAAGTATAAATAACGTGCATCGACTCACATCAATTAGAAACGGTACTCCAATCAATATTCCAACGAGATTCTACACACTTGTTATTCACCACAATACAAGGTAAGTGAAAACACATACACTAGGTATATAATTAAGAACAAATTATTATTTCGGTATTCAAATAATAATATTCTGTGGTAAGATAAAATTTACGATAAGCGAGACTCTTCAATCATTCACACCCTTTGTAGTTTACCACCACTGCGTTTCCCCCTACTTCCCTCTTTTGCCTATTTTTACTCGTTTTATTTTATTTTACTACAATAATTTGGACTTAGAAAAATCATCGAACGTTATAATAAAATTCACAATATACAACTGTCTTATTATTCATTCATCAACCACGACTTCAGTATCAGATAAAGTGTCTGCGACCTGCATCTATAACATCTTGGTAGCCACTTATCTACTGTCAGCACTACGATAGTAGGTACCAAGCACCAAGATCGTTACATAATCAATACCTAAACATTTTGATAAATATTCATCAAAACATAGACCGATTGAGGCTGAAATATTTATAAAACCATCAATTAATTCAAGCGTTACTTTAGGAAAATCGTAACAATTCAGTAAATTTTCAATTTCATATATTGTGTACTGAGTGATTCTTTTATCAAACAACACTCATTATTTCAAAAAGTGTAAATTGGAGCGGTGAAGTGGACAAACATTTGGCGGGGTAACCCCGAACCACTCCACTCCGCTCGTCTAAACTTTAAATACTTATAACTCATAAACTACTCGCCCCAAATTCAATTTTCATGTATCAACATACTAAGAAAAATATTCTACTTTAGAATATAAAATTAAAACTCTATGTTGTCATTCAAAAAAGTAAAAAACTTAAAAAATTATAAGGATAAAAAATAATTAAAAATATAAATTTTTAATAAAAACGTTGTTTTATAAGCGACTTGAAACTATGTAAAAAAATATCTTCAAAAATATTTACACTTTTTGAAATAATGAGTGTTGTTTGATAAAAGAATCACCCAGTATATTCCTTTAAAAATTGTGTCCGTTGGTATTTCACCATTTCTACCTATTTTAAATCTACAATCTTGTTCAATATTTATATAATTTTCATTAGAATTAGGATAATAAATTATTGGATTAATACTAAACATTTCAAAATCTATGTTTGTACAACCTAAATATTTGTTTAAGTTTTCATCTCAAATAAAATGACAAGGAGATTCTATTTCAATTTTTTTATCAATCAAAGAGATAATTAATGGTTTTATTAATTTATTTAGTTCTTCAATAATATAAATACCACTTTTGATGTCAATTACGTTAGTGTTAATTGTTATTTGACAGTCTTTTTCTATTTTAATTAAGTCACCAGAATTGGCAAACGACAAAGCATATAACCCAACTGATATACTTTGGTTTTCATTGTGCATACAGGGTGATTTTTTTATCGTGAACCAGTTAATATCTCGGGAAGTATTAGTAATTTTAAAATAATTTTTTTTTTAAACTTTCTAGGTATTACTATTTTACACTGTGTTACAATTTTGAAAATTTTAACT